GTTACAAGCAGAAGGTAGAAAAGGAGTAGAGACAAAATATCAGCTACATAATAGAGTTGAAATATGTGTCAGGTGGAACAAAGATATTGCTTGAAAACGGAAAGGTTCGGGTTGGATCTTACTGAAATTCTTGTTGCAACAAAACCAGCCTTGACAAGAGGCCGACTTAGTCCACCCTTGTGAACCCCTGACTTGCTAGCTTGAAAGTGTCCAAAGGAACCTGACAGCAATGATAACAAATGTCAAAAGCGTACGAGTTTACTCGAAACTAAAATCCAAAATGTCCTTCTAGAGAACCAAAGGTCGATTTATGTTTATTCATTTCATAATTCAAAGAACTTTGCTATGGCTAATGAACCTTACAAATCCTGCTAATGACTAAACACACAATTAATATCAACCTGCTCCATGAACAACAATAAAACTTTCTGAATCCGCAACTGGTTGATCACAGAGATCATTAATGAAAGTTGGAACTTCAGACTGTCCCGACCTTTTACTCCAATCCATTCCAATAACATTTGCAGAAGTAGACTCCGGAACAAATGCTTGACGAATCTGCGATGAAACTTCCTTAAGATTCTCCTCATCTATAGTCTCCAATTTATTTTTACACGTGATGGCTGCACCTCCTGAACTAAAATGTAAACAAATAATGCATCCAAAATCTCCAAAGTAAAAAAAGAAAAAGGGACATACACTTTGTACAGTGTTAAGAGTAACCTAAAATAGTTAAATACAGACTCAAAAGAAAGCATCAAGCAACATATTTTTATTTCTAGTTTCTCCTATAGGTAATGTCAATCAATCAATCAACTAACATGTTATGCTACTATCCGTTGTTTCTGGTATTTTCTATTGTCCCTTGTACTTTCATTACGCCTTTTTCTAAACTGATTATGTCTTTGAGCCGAGGGTCTATCAGAAACAGTCTTTCTACCTCAGTGAGGTAGAAATAAGGTCTGTGCATACTCTACCCTCCCCAGACCCCACTCGATATATTGTTGTTGTAGGTAAAATCAATCAATTAGCATGTTCTGCTACAATCTATTGCTTTTGTTATTTTCTAGTGTCGCTTGTACTTCCATTACTAAATTGATTATGCCTTTAGCCAAGGGTCTATCAAAAACAACCTTTCTACCTCATACTCTACCCTCGCCAGACCCCACTCGATATATTATTGTTGTAGGTAAAATCAATCAATTAGCATGTTCTGCGACAATCTGTTGTTTTTGTTATTTTCTAGTGTCGCTTGTACTTTCATTACATCGTTTTCTAAATTGATTATGCCTTGAGCCAAGGATCTATCAGAAACAGTTTAGTCTCTCTTTCTAAGTGAGGTAAAAGTAAGTTCTACGCATACTCTACCCTCCCCAGACCCAACTCAGACTACACTGGGTATGTTGTTGTTGTAGGTAAATCAATCAATCAATCAACTACGCATCGATCCTAAACTAGTTGAGCTCATCTACACATATCCTCTGTTCAAGTCAAAGGATTCATCTAGCTTGACTATAACCCTGTTCTACAGGTAAATTTATCACAAAATTAGTGCCAATTGAATCGTAGCACAACGTTTTCTACTCATAAAGTAGCAAACAAATGCTCAATTTGAGATTATTTTAGTCAATCAAATATACATATATCAAATCAAATCAAATGTAGACAAATAAACTGAAAAGGGATAGTTCACCGAGTTTGACGATACAACGGAGACGTTTAGATGTTTTCTTCTGCTCCATTTTTGGTGAATGCTGCTGCTGCTGCTTTGTTCAATTCACTCTAAAAGGTAGCTGAAAATAGAAGCATAAATGACATACTCGAAATGACATAATAGAATCTTAATTTAAGAGTTAGATTTGTAATGTCACGACGTTATTTTAAATTATATTCCTTCGGATATCAATTTATCTGATAGCTTCCGGATTTTGAGATTCAAATAAGTCTACCTTGAATCATAATTTTTTTTATGTCTTTTTAAATATTTTAAATTGTTAATTATTGTGACTTATAATACTTTTTACGTAGTTTACAAATATATAAAATTCATTTAAAAAAATTTAAAGATTCTATACGCAAATTCTCGATTAAACTTAAATTGTTTGACTCTTAAAAAACAAAAAATATCACATAAATTTGGAGTATTTAATAAAGTCTTTTGAAAACTATTTTTTAGTTTGATCCGATTCTGCTTTCGCTATTGAGAATTTGTTTTTGATAAGAATAATAACTTTTGTGGCTAAATTTTTTAAATTGTTTTTTTTTTTGAAGTATTATTTTTGTCAAAACCATTTTTAAAAGAAATTTTGTCAAGATTAGAGTAGTATTTGTGTTTGTCTAAGATTCTACAAGTGATTTTGAAAAAAAACACGCACACTAATTTTAGCTTCTGAAAAATAATTTATGTTACAACTCAAAAATACTAGTAGTAATTTTTTTTCCCCATAAGAGTGTGCTTTTGCTTATTTGGACAAACATATCATAACATTTTCATGTAATTTCTGAAGGAGTACTATGTAAAGGTGGGTACAATGTTCTAAAAAGTGTGGCCCCACATTTATTTTTCAATATTGAAGTTTGATTAGTCTGAATCTGCATTGTGTAGGATTTCATTCGGAAGATATTTTCATATGCAAAACTCGAATTGGAGACCTCACTGAAATCTGTTCAACCATATAAATTCTAACAAAACATTTAAAGATATATTTCTTAATTGTAGTAATATAAAAAAAGTTGTAATTTTTTTGTATATTTTTAAAATATTTAAATATTATTTTTTAAATATCAAAATCTTAAAATTAGTTAAATTAATTCTCAAAAAGTAAAATATGACAATTATTTGAGGCGAAGAAAGTACTATTAATTAACATTTTAATTTGCTGTATAATGGATAAAAGAGTCAATTTGAATTATATGTGGAGTTGTTTGGAATCCTAAGGTAAAAGGATTTGTTTTCATTTCTAAGATGGGGATTTAATTTTCCTCCTATTTTATTTTTATTTGATTTTGTATAAATTAACTCTTGAAGAATTTTTTTTTTTACATATCTATAATGGTCCAATGGAAAGCTGAAAGAAAAGAGAGTTTCAATCTTTTGATACATACAAACATGCTACTTGAATTCGACTCTGTGAAATCTTGTTTGAGTGAGAGAACAAACAATAGATAAACAATGGCAGAGCCAGAACTTCGACTAAGGATGTCAAAATACAAAGAAGTAAAATCACGTAGAAGTCAAGGAGTGTCAATATGTAATATATATATACATAAAAAAATATTTTTACTCTAGCTACACAATGTAATTTTCTGATGAAGGGGTGTCGATCGATACCCCTCAACTACATGTGGCTCCGCCACTGCAGATAAAGAGTTGTAGCTAGGTTCTATAGAAATTGGAATAAGAGATTGCCGGTCACGTGGAAGGTCTTCGGGAACTTTTTGAATTGCCAATTGAGAGAAATGACTACTCCTATAGAAAATTTATCTTCAAATATTTGTTTGGCTATGAAATTTGATTAGATTTTCAAGATCCATTATTCAAATATTTTCAAGTTCTCGAAAATTGATTTGCCAGTTTCTGGAACTTCTACTTACAAAACTTCAAATATTTTTCAAGTAAAATGAATGTCCAAACACAACTTCAAAAACTCAAATTGCCCATTCGGAGGTAAGCGCTCCTTACGAAGATTGTTTGATATGCCAATTGAGAGAAATTGGTACTCCTATAGAAAATTTATCTTCAAATATTTGTTTGACTATGAAATTTGATCAGATTTTCAAGATCCCATTATTCAAATATTTTCAAGTTCTCGAAAACTGATTTGCCTGTTTCTGGGACTTCTACTTACAAAACTTCAAGTATTTCCCATGTAAAATGAATGACCAAACACAACTTCAAAAACTCAAATTACCCATTTGGAGGGAAGCGCTTAGAGATAACAAAACTTACTCCAAGTATGAAAAGATTGTACAATAGCAATCAGGTTGTTGACAGTATAATACAAGGATGAAGTAGAATTGGATTTCTTCATGATTTTGCAATTCAGTTCTGGAAAACAAGATGTGTACCATCTCTGTGACTAACCGAGACTCGAAAGCATACAGTAGGGGGATTTCCTCCTACGAGAGATGACAATCGATAGTTCTAAGAAACTCACCTCGACATGATGACAAAGAACTTATTTGCAAATGATGATGATTGCTCTCTTGATACCAAAATTCACAGGCAGATGAAGTGGAAACTCAAGACATTTAAAAATGTAACTCAAGATGAGTACAAGACTCGAGATCACTCTACGTTCCAATCAACAAACAGATAGGAAAATCGTAAAATGCAACAAACAGATTCTCCAGTCAAAAATGGGAGCGAACACTAAGAGCATGATGAACATAGTTTCTCAACTTGCATTTGTGATGCACCTCATATTTCAACTGAGAACAAATAATTTGCTAAACGCACCTCTATTACTGCTAAAGCAAACAATGAACATTATGCCTGAGCTAAAAATGCAGTACAAAGGAAAACAAGAAGTCTGTTTTCAGCTAGCTCATTCAAACAAGGCATATTTTTATTTCATGATAGCTCACAACTCCTTACCGTACTTTCACCCCACTGTTCTGCAGACAAATTCAAAATCGGAAGTATGCCAATATCTCAGAGAAGCAACTAAATTATAGAAGTGCCAATACCAATTCCCAGCTTAAGTTTTCTCATTTACCAATTAGTAAGTGACAAATGATATCTAGTATCTGAACGGAACTGGCTAACCAGACGAAAATGCAGTTCTCTTAAGCAAACTTCTTTAGGTCATAACTCATATCAGGAATACAGTTAAAACCACACAGTATTTCTTACAAGGAGAGAACTTACAATGTTTAAACATAACAAATACATCACGGATCTTCTAGCATGGAAGAAACATGCTATGTTTTCTCGAGGTAATAAAGATACTAACCCAATTATAAGAGTACGTCATGGAGCATTAACTGAAGACGAGCCATTTGGATATAGTAATCAAACTAACATTTCATTGAGGAAATGATACAAGTAGTTTTTACAGTACCTACACAATATGTAGAAGCTAGAAAAGAGATCTAAGCGTCTAAATCGCGACCTGCTTCAACAAACTTATTACATATAGAGATGCATAGTACATATTGTAAAGCATCTTCACATGATTTCTTAACTACTATGGAACTGGATACATGATTAAAACCATAATTTCTACAAAATACAAAGTAAAAACTGCATCTTGAACCCACTGACCTTACACTGTTTCAACTTTGAACAACACAAACAACATGAGGAACCTTCTCATTGTCAAAAGGCAAGTAGACATACTCGCGAGCAAACTCCTCCGCGATATCCAATGCTAGCTCCCCGTGCAATGCCTTGCAATACATATACAACACGACACTCGCTGCAATATTCTGAAGCATCAAGAGAGTAGCAAAACCCGAACTCACCACCATCTGCAATATCACCCCAAAGCTTGTCCACCCACCACTAGCAGCTCCTACACTCACCAAAAAACTAGAACAACCACCCACTAACAATCCAATCAGAACCCCGAAAAATAGCAACACCGATAACGCTACCCATCTCATCCCCTTCACCAAATAAGCACTTCTTTGCAATGCTTCGTAACCCCATTTCGATTCCACAACTACAATCACATAAGCTAATGACCAATTAACATGCAGCCACATAACAACCAATACAACCACTACACCTACAAAAACACCCAAACCCATTAAGTAATTCGAATCGTAACCCACTTCAAACCCCAGAAACTGCACACCCTGTACCACAATCACCGCCAATAGCCCAAACAGTAGAACAACTAAAGCATAAATGACACGCGAAACGATAAGGGTGGCAACTAGAGGCAAGAAAGAGTACAAAACAGACTTCATAGACGAAACAAGCTTGACGGGTCTTCCATAAAATCCATGGAAAGTACTGTAGCTGATTGTAGCCAACGCCAAAAGGGACAGAACAGCAGCCAAAAGGGTGTACGCAAGGAGAAGAAGAAGGGACTGGGGATCCGGTTGGGTCAGATTCCGAATCGGGTCATATGGGTCAGTGGAGGTGAAGGAGAAGGAAAGGTGAGATGGGTGTGTGTGAAAAAGGTTGGAATCGGAGTGAAAGAGAGCGGTTTGAAGAGTAGGATAGATGATGAGGGAAAACGAGAGAGGCAAAAGGAAGGAAACTGAAAGGGCTAAGAAATGGCGTGAGTGAGCATTGATTATACGCTTTGATTGGGAAAGTACTCCCCAGAGATTAAGGGTATGTGGATAACCAGACATTGAAGATGATGATGAAGAATTGAACAAGGAAACCAAAGAGATGATGAGAAAAACTGGTCTCTGTTTTTGTGATTTGGGTTTTTTTTCTTCCCCTTTTCTTGAATTTTGCAGGATTGATGTTAAGGAGAGAAGAGTGAAGAAGGAGACAAGTGGCAATAAGGTTCAATATTTTCCTCAATTCACTAGAAAATTGGTCTTTAGTCTTATCCCATAGGATTCAAGGAAAGACAAGAAAATTGAATTATGAGATGTTTTTTAAGTCTCAAAATTAATATTGGTGACATGTTTGATCAATCCAAAATTAAGAAATGTTTTAGAGTGAGTTAGAGTCTCACGTTAACTTGAGAATGGATAAGTGAGTTGCTATATAGACTTGATCAACTCTCCACTTATAAGCTAACTTTTGGGTAGAGTTACAGTCCGATACCCAAAGTTGCACAAGACTTGTGTAGTGCATTCTACCCAAAAATTGCGCATAGAATATGTTGGGCTATTGCCCATGTTCCAGCCAAAGGCCCATGGCCTAATCCTACTTGAAAAAGGATTGGAATTATTCTCTTTATTTGGTTTCCAATTCTATTAGGAAAAGGATTGGAATAGTAATCCTATTTGGAGTTGGTTTTGGCTTTGTAAGGAAAAGCACAACTCTATAAATAGAGGATGGTCTTAAGAGAATAATTCAGATTGCTCATTAGTATTGTCTTTGAAAGACATTAGGACATAAGAGAGGTTTCTTGAGAGAGCTTTCAACAAGAGAGAAAAGAGAAGAAAAAAGGGTTCTTTTGCTATAGTATTTTATTCCGACCAGCAACCTTCAGATCGTGTTTCCCGATTAACTAACCGTTGGATCGGGCTGAAATTTGTACTGAGTGTTCCTGACATCTTGGTGGTTGATTTGAACGGTGGAGATCGGATTCAGAAGTCAGCAAGATCCTGTTTTAGGTCCCGAACAGAAGCTGAGTTTGGGTGGTGTTTCTTTCTATTTATCTTTTGTTGGTGTAGCTATTGTTTGTTCTCTTTTGGCACTTGTTGTGTAGCCATTAGAAGAATAATTGTAACTCTCTTATTGTTATAGTGAAGCAATTCGGATCTTGTCGATCCCGTGGTGGTTACCTTCGTTTTGAAGGATTTTTCCACGTTAAACTTGGTGTTCTTTATTTTAGATTTTCGTTTTCATCTTTTCGTCACAACAAGTGGTATCAGAGC